AAAAACATGCAAACACACATGAAAAGACACAAAATCATGATAAAAAAAAGATGCAAATCACCACAAAAAATCTACAACATCTGGAAAAAAGTTCCTCCAGAACCTCCTCCAGAACATCTGGTTCTGTATCTGCAGCACCTTTATCTACTGACCAGAGTTCTACCTTCAGACTGTTAATATTTCCAGAGTTCCAGGTCCTTGGAGTTGATGTTTACGGTTTTTAATGGACTCCTTCCATCATTTCTGAGCGTCGTGTTCGGATCATCTTCTAGACACGACTCACTTTGTGGCAGTTACTGAACAAAATGCTAAATACTGTTGAGAAAAATGTCCAAAACTAAACAAAAAGTGAACAAAATGACTCAATGAATGAGTAACCCATCGTCAAAATCACAAGAATGTGTACAGGATGGCTCAAAAAATGTTCCCAGTGTGACAATAATTAAAAATGTGTGCTAATCTGTGTTTCCAAAATGATTAAAAATATATTTATAATAACTCTAAATTGTCCAAAATGACAAAATCTTTCCCAGTGTGACGACAAAATGATCCAAAACACTCAGAAATCATCCAGTGTTTCATGTCATGTGTCCGTCCGCTGCTGATGAAGTTCTGAGGCTCAGAAATGATGGAAAAAGTCCATAAAAACCTGCTTCAAGGACCTGGACCTCTGGAAACATTCCCAGTCTGAAGGTAGAGCTCTGATCATTAGATAAACTAAAGCCACTGTAGATGCAGGACCAGATGTTCTGAGGCTCATTCTTTAATACTTTGACGTTGCTGTTCATCATCATCATCATCGTCACCGTGTGAAGCTGCAACGGCTAATAAACGGACGCCGTCACCTCCCGACCTCCAGCGCCGAGCTCTAATCAGAGACCCGTCGGGCCAGATGTTGTGTACGATACCGGGATTATGAGATTTGCCGTTTGGCAGATCGCAGAGACTCGTCCCGTGTTCGCTCTAATGAATCTCTGTGTTTCCAGGAGACGACGAGGCGGCGAGGAAAGGCCAGGTCCTGACGCTGCTGGCCGAGCAGGCTCTGCAGAACCTGGACTTCAAGGCCTCGTACATCCACTGCCAGGACGTCATGGCTGCAGGTACGTCACCCGTCGCGGTGCTAATTAGCTCCTCTAAAGAGGCCTCGGTCTGGAGATGAAGAGCGATCCGTGTGGAGATAGAACAGCATGAAAAGGAGCAGGAGCTGAGGATAGAGAAGCTCTTCAGGGAACGTTTCCGTCTGACTAATTAATAATATTAAAAACGAGGATCTGAAGTTCTGCTTCACCTCCAAATGTTTGTGCTCGACTGGAAAAATTAACAGTTTGCATGAACGTGCAGCTTAAAACGAAACCAGTTGAAAGAATCGGCTTCTCCTCCACAATCAAAGGCGTTTTAATTAGTTAATGACTGGCAGCATAAACACAAGACTTCAGGTTGATTAGTTATAAAAACTGAGTTCTTCCAGCTTCTGTTTCCACCTCGTTTAAAAGGAGTTTAAGTGTTTTGTACTTAATTACTGTAACTATGAGCACAAGTTGCTCCACCGTTGTTTAACTCTGTTTCCTCAACTTAGAGTTTAGTTTTGAATCAACTTGTGTAGAAATTAGAGTTTAAATTACACACGATGTTTAGTTAGTGCAACTTTATAATGTCAACCATCAAAAAAACTGTTTGCATCTCATCGCTTTTCAGATTGTAGCTGCTTTTTACTTCCTCCTTTATTCAGTGCGTTAAAAAAACAACAAAAACCAACAGTTAGCATCTATCTATCGGAGTTTCTACGACTTCTAACCAACCAACAAACTATACTGAGTTAAAGGAATCAGCTTTTCACTTGCAGTTACTTAACGACTGGTAGCATAAACACATTTCTTTGAGGTGATTTCTCATTAAAAATTAAGTGATTCCGATTTGTATTTAAAATTATTTTTTACTGTTGTGAATTTAATTCTCATTATTTTGAAGAGATTTTATAATTTGGTCACTTATAAACATTAAATAGCACCAACTAGAGTTTACACATTATTAAAAACTCGTTTTGAAATGTTTTGTACTGAATTACCGTAAATTCCAGACGAATGGTGCACCTGAATATAAGCCACGCCCACTAACTTTAAAGCTAGTTTTGTACATATACAGGCCGCACTTGTCTCTAAGCTGCAGGTGTCCACGTTGGAACATGAGATATTTACACAGAAAGATGTTTTAAACTTTTATTTAAATACGTAACAAACCACTGAAGTCGTCTTCTTCAGCCTCAGAATCACTTCGTCACTTCCTCAGTCTCTCTGTCGCTCTCAACGTCACTTTGGGTTCGAGGCAAATTCGTAAAAATCCATAAATTAGCCGCATCGCTGTTTAAGCCGCAGCGTTCAAACCGTGTGAAAAAAGTAGGAGCTTGTAGTCCAGACATTACGGTAGCCTAATCAGGTTTATAGGATGATTACTCATAAATGAACTTGTTCTAAGTGGTGTTTCCACATTATTTAAAAGAAATTATTAATGGTTTTGTGCTTAATTGCTTTTCTTATGAAGACAAGATTTTAAGTTGAAAATCTCTGAAAAATTTAAGTTGCCTCAATTAGATTTTTTTTAAAAATAGTAGTTTAGTGTTTTTATACATGCAGCAGCTTTTACATCATTAAACAAACGAATAACTGTTTTAATTTTGAGTTACCGATGTGTATTTGATATTTTAATCTTGAAAACAAAAAAATATTGTTTAAGTTTCACAAAATATTAAGTTCACGCCACAATTATCAGTTTAAATCTCTCAACATAATGTTAACACTTTCATCTAAATCAATAAATTAGAACTTTGCATTTAATTAATGTTATATAAATAGCTTCTTTGAGCTAATGTGACATAAATCAGTGAGAAACCAGAACATCTACGCTGCTGTTTAAATGAAACCTGCTTTAACCAAACTGATCAGAAAACAGTTTGATAAGAAACTATAAATACGCAGAAGGAGGAGGCAGCAGCCGAGGCCAGAACTGTGCGTTTGACTAAATTATCAGGTGTCTGTTCTCACGTCGCGTAATTGTCGCAGGTGTTCTCCTTAAAGCTTGACGGCTCGCTCGCTTTGTGCGTCTTCCCTGAAAAAGGCCAGAACCGAGCCATTCCCAGCATCTGCTCGCAACAATGGCGGGAATAAACGGTCCGATCCGCGGCGGGAGCATTTCTGTGGAGGGCTACAAGGCGGTCAGCGCGATAATGGCGCTCCTCCTGAACTCGCTTTGTGTCGCGCCGCGCAGGAATGAAAGCCAACAGAGTTTCCTCCCACAGAAGAAGAAGAAGGTGTAATCAGATAAGGCCTCAGTCTGCCAGCGCAGCAGGAATAATTGGATCTGTTGGGGAGAATGAAGTGGAGGCGGCGCGCTGCCTCCTGACGCTGATGAAGCTCCGACTAACGGTTATTACAGCCCCATATTTATTTCAAGGGGAAAATGTGTTTTAGACTTAAATACGTATTAATATCCCCGAAGCCTGCGAGGCTCCACTTTATTCTGGTGTCATATCTCAGCGCCGTGCGTCTGCCGGGTCTCTGAGTCGAGTACTTACAGATTCTATACATCAGTTCTGTCTCTGGAGGGACTCAGAGGGGATTATTCTGTGATGTATGATGTTTTTAAAGCACTTTTTATCTGTCGTTTGGTCGTACAATGCTCTGTGTTTTTGTTTGTTTTTGCTTTATGGATTCTCCCAGTTGTGTTAACCTATAAATATGTACTCGTAAAATGACAAAAAAAGACATTACTATATTATATTTTATACGATGCAGTTATTTTACAGATTTGTTTTGAGATTTTGTCTTTTTTTACTGCATTTAAATCAACAAAAATCAAATATTATTTTACAGGCATTTGCTGTTATTTGAAAGATTTGAAATGTTTTATTAAATTACAAATAATATCTCAGAAAATCACTGGGGAAAAAATATTAATTTACATGTTTGACTCTAAAACAAAAAATGTTCAAACTGTACAGAAAAATTATTTATTTTTTATAAATATTAATTTGGTCTTTTACAGTGTTTTACCATAAAATTACATTATTTTTACTGTATTAAAATAAGCCAAAAAACACATTATTTTATGTACACATGCAGTAATTTAAAAGAATATGGTAATTATATATTTTTTAAAATGTTATTTTACATATTTTAACTGTTTTATTAAATTACAAAAAATATTTAGTAAAATCACTGGAAAAATTATACATTTATGTGATAATGATAATATTAAAGGTTGAAATTGTACATATTGTCCACTTGAAAAAATAATTTTTAAAATAAATATTATTTTTTTTATGTTTTGTCATAAATTACATAAATTTGTACTGTATTAAAATAAGCCAAAAAAAACAAACCCAACACATTATTTTATATATACATGAAGTTATTTGAGGGAAAATGGCAATTATATTTTTTAAATATTATTTTTAGAGATTTTTTGGGATGTATTACAGATAATGATCAGCAAATAAATAAATAAATAAATTAACGTTAAAACATGTATTTTAGCAGATGAGGTTACACAGTTTTGTGTTTATAAATCAGCTGAAATAGAATCATTTTACAGATATTCGTCAGTATGTTTTCAGTATTTCACAGGATTGATTTTCTGTTATTCTACAGTTCAGAGCTGTAACTAATCCCTGTCCCTCTCCCACCACGTGTCCTCGTCCAGGCTACGGTCCGGCCTGGGACGTCTGCAGTCTGCTGGGTCAGTGTGAGGGCTACGGAGACCTGGAGGCCCGGCAGGAGCTGCTGGCCTTTTCTCTGACTCACTGTCCTCCAGACAGCATCCACGGTCTGCTGGCCGCCTCCAGCGACCTGCAGACTCAGGTCAGACCTGCAGATAAAACACCTACATCATCGAGTTCACGTAGCGTTGCTCAGTATCCTGGAACCAGGAAGGAACTGTCTGGTTCTGTATCTGCAGCACCTTTATCTACTGACCAGAGTTCTACCTTCAGACTGTGAATGTTCCAGAGTTCCAGGTCCTTGAAGTCCACAGAGGAGGGTCCAGATTTATCACTTTAATGGACTTTTTCCATCATTTCTGAGCCTCAGAACTTCATCAGTACAGCAGATAGACGCATGACATTTAGGAGGAAGAACACATCTGAGTTCTGGTAGAACCTGACACCAGATCAGTTCTACATCCATCCAGGTGTCTCAGTCTGAACACTGGACCTGGTTCTGTTCATGTCCTCTGTCAGCAGCTGGTAGCGTCAGTATTATGGGATGTCTCATAGTGGTAACAGTCAGACTGTTTTGGGTAAATGTTCCAGGCTCATATCAGCAGAACAAGTTCTAGATAATGGAAGGACCGTTTTAACTCCAGAACATACCAGAACCATTTACACATGAAGCATTTTCTTGGATTTCAAGTCATTTTGGAGAAGCTTTTGTCATCCTGGACGGGGTTAGAATTGTTTTTGACCATTTTAGAGTTATTCTGGAAAAGTTTTGGTTCATTTCAGACATTTTTTGGAGACATTTCAAGACCTTTTGGACACATTTGAATAGTTTTGGGCACATGTGAGGTCATTTTGGACATGGGGAACACTACAAAGTGCATGCCGGGTAAACTTTCCAGGCTCATATCAGCAGAGCAAGTTCTAGTTAATGGAAGGACCATTTTACCTCCAGAACCTACCAGAACCATCTACAGACAGGATCAGTCTATGATGATTAAATGTGTCTTAATGGTCCAAAACAGAAACAAAAATGTACCAAATAATGAACAAAATGACTCAAAATTCATCTAAAATAACAGAATGAGGAGCCAGATGTTTCCAGAGTGATTTAAAATTTGTCCAGATTTACAGAAAATGTTCCCAAAATGATGAAAACTGATTTCCTAATGAGTCTAAATTATCCAGAATGACACCCAGTGATTGATGTCATCTGTCTATCTGCTGTTACTAAAGTTAGCTCAGAAATGATGGAAAAAGTCCATTAAAATCAGCTTCAAGGACCCTGAACTCTGGAATGTTCCCAGTCTGAAGGCAGAACCTGCCTCATTGGATGAAGCTGCTGCTGATTGTGAGGAGGTCGGCTGAAGCCTCTGATTCCTGGACCGGGGTTCGGTTCGTTCTGCTAAAACACCAGGGTTCTGTTTGTGTGCTGCAGGTTCTGTACCAGGCCGTTAACTACCAAATGGAGCCGGTCATCGCCGACGCCGGACCCGATGAGACGGACTCGGCGAAGGTCTGTGTCCTCCTCCTCGTTGTGTGTTTTCCCGCTGCTCCATATTTGATGAGGTGTAAATCCAGCGCCGGGCTGCTCTGGTTTATTTATGCCTCCCCTCTCCTCCCTCCAGCGCCGCCGGCTTCATGACGCCTTGAGTGGGCGTTAATGTTTCATGAGTGGCGGTGCGTCGCCTTTGTGTGCGGACGGGCGCTCGTTCTCGGCTGCCTGTTGTCGTTTTATTGTCGTATTGATGCCTCGGCTTCCCGCTCGTGTATATTTAAACCCTCCTGATGTGTTCGCTGGCTGCGTGCTCTTAAACAAACACTTTCAATGCTTTTATCTTTCCATTCGCTGACCCTCAATCCCCCCCAAATAAAGTATTGATGACGGCACTAAACGATTTGGCCTGTGAATGCGCCTTTAAAACCCTTTTTCAGCGGCGTGCCGAGGACCTGGGCTTCCAGAAAGATCTCCGTTCAGCGTCAGTGCACCTTTCATTCGTCTGTTTTTGTTATTTTTTTAAAGATGAGGAGGATCTTTCTGTGATGGAGCCATCTTTACTGGTCTTATTGTTCCCAGAACGGCCGATCAATACCACCAATTATATGTTTTCACGTGATACAGATCAGAACAGTTCCAACAGCTCTTATTTTGAAGCATCGCATTAGACGCAAAAATTAGGGGGAAGAAAATCATTAAAAGGTTTTTCACTCCCCTGAGATGAGTTTTTATTTCTGAAACGAGTTAATGAGCTTCATGTGAGAAGAAACCAGCGTCTCTGAACGAGTTCTACTGAACGTTTAACATGAAAGCAGCTCGTTTAAGAACTAAATAGTTGTGTTTGTGGTCAAGGACGGACTCGCTGGATAGAAATATTTAACTCATTTGTATATTTTTAGCGACTAGATTTCCTCAGAAATACTCGTTAATCTGCAAGTTTTCTGTTCGAGCTGCCTGAACGGAGCGTGTAGGGATTCTGCACTGAGCTTCACACAAAGCTGAGCGACACAAACGTCCAGTAAAACCAGAACAACGTCTGATATCACGCTGATACTAGAGACTCCTCAACTCATATCCTGAAT